CACACACACACACACACACACACACACGCACGCACGCACGCACGCATGCACGCACGCACACACACACACACGAATAGAAGACCACATAAAACACAACTGAGTTCATACAGTCACAACCTCACATACATGTAGAATGTACTCAGTAAATCTGKATACCACACATTTTCTCTCACACACACAAATAGACAAACAGACTTTGAACTTGGCRACACAACCTTCCAGCAGGATAATATACGCATCATCTAGTTTGTATTAAATTTTATGAAAAATGATACATATTTTTATTGGTTAATGAATAAATTTAGCTTTATTTACCAACCCAGATTGCACTGACTTTCATACGGCAGATGGAAGACATGTTGTTGAGCATCTCGTGAAATGAGCCCATTTCTCCCTGATACAATCTTTAGACTGCAATCAATTCCTAAAAGAATCAACCACTGTCYAGATTCTTGTTTTAAATGAATGGAAATGGAGAACATGTCATGCTGCTAAGTGTCCTGCTGACGTCGCATTTGTGAAAGCTTCAGAATTTAATCTTACAGGATCAAGAAACAGATAAATCTCMCAGCTGATTGGGCAACAGACAACCCCCAGGTCACTAGTCACTAATCATTGGGCTGCAAGCRTTTAATCTATCCCCTTGTTCATAGAGCTAAAAAAATGCATTACTTTGCATTTCATTTGAGGTTGAATAGATCAAATTCATCTGATTTCCATGAATATCTAAACGTGACATTCTTGACATTTTGTCTTTGGAGAAAACACAAAAGTTGCACTGCTTCAGTGTTTCACTGAGTTCTGTTGGCTTTGTGATAGTCTGTGTTTACATGTCCTTTTTAACAGTTTTTAAAATCATTTACAAAGAACACTTCAAGACATAACCGCAATGGAAAGACAGGAATCGTCAATTGTTGCACTTACCTTACCAATAATTTTACCTGTAGTTTAAACAAAATTATTGAAATTTTAAGTGCTAACCAGATAAAAGAGGTTTTGATCAAGGCCACATGAAAAGAACAGATCTGAAATCCATTTCAACTGCAAATCCGAAGTTGGGCAACTGTGTTCCGACACTGAGAAGGCATGAATAATAAAATAAGTTGTCTCTTCAGGAAGTGATCAAAGTCTGTCTGCGTATGTGTTTGTGTGTGATCCTACTATATTAATATGCATATATGAAGGACACCGAAGGTTGTGTCATCCTTATTAAACCGAACAGAGCGTACAATTCCTTCACTCATTGGTATTCTCTTCTTGTAAGCACATATACATTGTCAGGGGTGATTGAGTGGCCTCCTGTCTTTATACAGCCAAGTAGCTCCACTCTCGTTTATGGGAGAAAGCAAACACAGCATCGAATTACGGGTCCAGCTTACTTTTTGCTACTTTGTTTGAACAAGATGGTGGCAGCACAAAAGGAACACCCAAAACAGTGCATAAGTCCTCTAGAGGATATCTAGTGGTTCATGGTTATTGCTTAGCTCGTTCACTTCCTGCCTGGGAGGAATCTGCATTAGCATACAATAGGTTCTACATCAGCCCTCCCAATGTGACACAAAATAGTGACTCTGATTAAAGGATGCTCTCTGAGAATAAAATCAAATTCCCAGGAGCATGAGCTGTGAGCTATGAGTGGAACTGAAACTCCTACARTGCATTTTAAATGGTAACAAATATGGAATGCTTGGGCGTACACAGTATAATAAAGTGAATTGTTAAAGTTCTGGGAAAGTATCACCTAAAACATTAGAAGATTGTTTCACATGGTTTTAAAGTAAAACAAGTTGGGTAAAAAAATGGAACAAAATTGCTATATCTAGTCATCTCAAATAATTTTTGCATTTCTGTGCTGCTCTAGCAGTAGCGTTTATATTTTTGTTTAACTTCTTCTTGAACTCCTGTCCACTCATTCATTTTGAAGCCATCTGCTGGCTTGTCCATGTGATTTATTGTTTAGTTTAATCCCAAATCTGACAAGGTTTTTCATCGTTCTTGTCTAAAAATAGCTAAACACATAATAGGACTTAGTCATTTTGGCCAAAATTTCATTTTGGTAACAAAAAAAAGTAAAGAAACACCTTGGTGACAATCAACCTCTGCACTGCCGAACTTAGCCATCTGAAAAGAAGCTAAAAAATACCCACTAGATTACAGTCTGAATCTTCTCAAATTAAGTGAAAAAAATCTTCAAGGGCAGTAAAACATTTTTCATTTGGTAAGACTTGGTGAAATAAGAAAACAATTCCCAGGCTTTAGTGTGAAATATTCATTCCAAGTACTTTGTTAAGTCAAACAAACTCAAAACTAGTGTGTTAATGTTTCCTTCAGGTCTCCATCTTTCACTTTGATAGAAAATATATAAAAACAAGAGCAACTAAACAAGATGAATCTTCTGCACTTRAGAGATTTTGCATCTTAAAACAAGGCAAAGCATTTGCAGTAAAAGAAATCAGGCACACGTCTGTTTGGGTATGACTCTGAAGTAGCAAGAATTTGCACAGTTGATCCCTGTTTGCTCATGTTAGCAACAATCTGCCTTCTGTGTTTTTATAACTTTGTGCTGCCCTTTCATTGTGTTAACCTKCAACCTTTCATTGTGGACAAAGGAAAAGAAAGAATGGGTCATTATTTCCCCTTTCCTCCTCTTAAGAGAACATTTCAGAGAGAGTAAAGACASAACCTAATGTTCTTCCTCCTCAGTCTTACGCCCAGACAGAGAGCTTTGCTGTTCTGTTTTGCATGATGCTTCATTGTGGCTCGAGTACTTCTCTGCCTGCCTGACCACTATGTCAGCTCTTGTGTCGCCACACTCGGTCACACTTAGGAGCTGGACTATTGGGGTCTAAGATGTGTTGTTTTCCTTGTGTTAAAGGCTACCTAGTCTGTGTGGACACAATGATTTATGGTCACAATCAGGCTTACTTTTGGGTGAGGTTTATGTCTTTTTTCTCTCTGTATCCATACCGAAAGCATTGATGGAGAGTCTGTCTGCTGTGAAACGATGGTGGACGAGGATGTAATTAGTGCGAGTGTCTATCTCACAGGTTTGGTAATTGCTTACAACCCCTTAGGCTTTTCTAAACAAAGGAAGCTTATTATTCAACTTTTGAGGAGATTGTACCCTATTACGACCTAAGAAGACATTATCGTCTTCATTGTGGAGACCATTTTCCTTGGCAAGTAAACCGTAAAATAATCGGGAGGAGTTGCCTGTTGACTGCTTATTTGCTTAGGTGAAAGCAAAACACAAAAACTGTCATATTCTACTTTGTGTTAGGACAAACTAAAACTGAGCACTTAGCAATTGTAATATTTTTATGTATGTAATTAATGTATTTTGAAAAGGCATTTTTTAATTACACAGAATAAGTGCGGCCTAAATGCATGAAAATTATTTTTTGTAATCAACTTATATAAAAAAACTCCTAAATGAAAGTTGCATTCTTCAAAAGAAAAAAAAAAGAATACATTTCACCCACCATCTTGTTTGCAAAAAATTTAAAGGGGCAATATTATGTGTTTCTCAGGCACACATTAAAATACTATATCATAATAAAGTATCTATGTCACCTTTACCTGTTATTAAAAGGCTGTTTTTTGTGTTTAAATAGAAAATAAACTTGTCTTCTCATCACTTCCTCTTATAAACACCTTGAAATTGGCCTCTGTCTCTTTATGAACTACCTTCCTCTGTCTCGCCCATTTCAGTGCAGGGGCCGGGG